TAACGGAGCCATGGATCAACTTTTAGTGTAAAGAGTTTTTTATTTTTAGTGTTAATTCTGCAGTACTGACCCAAACATTGTGTTTGGTTTGTAACAACCCTCTGTTTGTGGTACATCTAAAATACCATACAATAGCAATGTGAAGTGGATGATAAGACTTGCATTAATGGCATGCATTCCCTAAACTAAAGCTAGACATAACAATTACACTTTAATTGCACTTTAGGCAAAAAAGAAGATAAAGCCATGTCATGGACATAATCAGCATGTGTGTAAATAACAAATTTGTTTTTTATACAAATTATTGAATGTTCTGTAATTTCACACACACACAGATTATTAAAATGATTAAAGGTTATGGAAAAGAAAAAAAGATCAGACTTGCCCTCCTCTCTGACCACAAAATACCTCTAAGATGGCAGTTAGACCCAACATTTGCTTTAGTTATAGGATAAAAGCTATATTTAACTTGTCAAGGACAGATCTCATCATCTAAGCACTGAGTCATAATTTCTATATGAAGTATGTGGCTCACCATGTTGATTTTCTTTTGGTCCTTCAAACAGCAAAAAAATGGAAATACTAGTTTCTCATTTTGTATGTATCGAGTATGTATCAAACATTACACACACTGGCTGAGGTGTTCATTACTGTTCCTGTTCACAGCCAACTTTAAAAATCTTATACCATAAATCCACTTTTTTCTGAAAAAAGACCTGAAAAGCACCATACAAATTGCTACTGGCATTCACGGAACACTGGTACCTTATGTGTCCACCTCTGTATAGTAAGTCTTTCTTTCCACATGGATAATTCCAATAAAAATGCTGTCTTACCCTGTTACAGTATGCACGGGCCAATGCAAAAAATAAAAAATAAAATAAAAATGGTGTTTTTGCCCAAAGTGATATGAATCACATTCTGGGGAGGTTTTTATTAAACCTTAATAGCACGCCCAGAGAGGCAAAGACAAAGAACTAAAGGGAAAGATAAAAGAGCTGTGACCAGCCACTCTATTCCTGCTGGCCTACCTCTTCCATCAACCTGGCAGTGCCAAGGAAATACAGTTCATTATCATTGATCACACTACAATCCAGGTTCGTGCAGGCAGTCTAAAGAAATTACACACACCTTCCACAAAAAACACCCACCAAACAAGTTCCCCTGAACAGACGTCTGCAGCATCTGGAACTAGTAAAACTGAAATACTGCATCTCTTGCGACGAGCAGCTTTTACATTTCTCTAGTCACTACATTATGATGTAGCGGCTCTGTTGAGACGTGACAAGGAACAACAGGATTATACAGCAGCAGTTACACACACACACACACACACACACACACACACACTGCAGTTTGTTCCAGCTGCAGTAATTACTCTTAATAACGGCGGTGTGATGAATCAACATCAAAGCTCCGGGCCAGGACCTGTAGCACGTGTGTGAGGTGGGAGAAAACCAGGCTCAGATACATCAGGCATCTCCATGCTCGTGACTATGCAGAGGGACATTTGCATGTTTGAGTTTCCATAAACCATGAGTTTATAAAAGAAAAACAGACAGGACGCGATGCTTGCCAAGGGACAGTTTTTCACCTTTAGGACGAGCTGTGCTTTTGTGCTAAAACTTACTGGGAAGCTCTTGGGCTGGAGCCAGGTCTCCATGAATCATTTACTATTAAACATTGTTCAGCTGAAGAAGGATAAAGGAAGAGTAGACAGTTTTAAGAGGTGTATTTAGACCATCCTGTCTTCCCCTGTCTTGTCCTTTGAATTCTTTAATACTTAATGCCAGGGCTTCACACTCAAATGTCTTTCCTCACGTGTAAACCCTTTGAATGAAATAATCTCCTTAATTAATCAAAATATACAATGCAAGCCCTAGTTTATAAGGGTGAGGATGAGGTTTTTGTTGCTGCTTTTCAGGCACTTTCGGACATGGGAATATACCAAGTCCAAATATTTCATTTGAAGCAACTTTGAAATGGTTGCCTAAAACATTAATTATTACTTAAATACTTGAATGAATAACAGAACACTAACTTGACACTTCTGTGAGTTAAATTCTGTCTACTTATTAAGTAAAGGTTTCCATCTTCCTCATGCGTACTAATACCTTCTAAAATTACCAATCCCACCCAGTCAAAACATGAAAAGTTTTTTTTTTCTTTGGCAAAACAAACAATTATTTTGCAACTTCTTCTTATGTTACAACATTTCAAAATCCACGCAAGGATATCCTTCAAGGATATCTCTTAGCCTGTGACCACAGAAAACACCAGTGAACTCCTTTCCGTTTCCCTCACGTTATCAGAGCCCCATTTCTTCCATTTACACAAAGGCCGTAATCTTTAGCCAACATTCGATCTACTAACCTACAACTCAGTGAGCAGAATGCGCAGCTGTGACTGTGGGTGTGTCTCAGAGTGAGAAGGGGATCCTAAAATAGTGTACGTGTGTCTATGAGGTTCGATCAGAATGTGGAACCAGCAACACATTGTCGGGGGAAGCGTTCAGAGCTCACTATCCTTTTCTGCCCCGGTTATTTCTCTCTGTGTGCATCTGAACAACTGCCATGACCACTGAAGAGACCACCCTCATCTGACAACTTCTGCTCCAGGAGCCACAATGACTATCAGCTCCATTAACAGCAGCATCCTTGTCAAGGCCATTTTTCTGACATCCACAAAACTGCCATGTTTGACCAATGCGAGGTCTCCCACTCCAGGTCAACTCTAGGTCAGCACCTCTAACGTCCAACCCGTTGAGACACAAAAAAAATGAGCTTCCCTGTGCCTCTGAGTACAAACAAATCATTACACAGACAGGGCTTCCAGCCAACGCTTGCTGCTCTCCAGGGCTGATCAAGGTTCTGACAACCGTCCAGCCCTACTGTCTGCAATAGTTACGCTGTAAAGGGAAGAGGGAACAGAGGCAGTTCGATCAATACAGGCTCATTATCTGTTCCCTTCTGTCCCAGCGAGATGAGTCCCACCGCTCGGGCTGTTGATGAGAAGAGCGCACCACAATTCAATTAGGGAATGGCCGAGATGCCAAAAGAGGTTTGATCAAAGCACTCTGTCTGGCTAATTAGCACACACAGCGGTTCACAGAGGCTATTTTTACATCTGAGGAAAAAGGTGGTGTTGTTTTGTTAATGGTAGTTTTAGCCTGTAATGGACTGGGAATAACCTGGCTCATTGTCAATGCATGCGTTTAAGCCAGGGGAGGGCCTCGCCCCCTCCTGCGGCTCCACACACACGAACATGTATATTTGTGCAGACGTGAACACACACACACATACAGATGACCCTTTGAAAGGTCACGGCGGGTTAAATGAAACCTCTCCTTGCAGGTTAAACGCATCAGTGGGGAGGCGCGTGTGCGCTTCTGAGTGTGTGTAGCTCCAGACAGGAAGTGTCGGGTCATCAAGAAAAAGTGTTGGGGGTAAATTAAGCTGCTCGCAGAAGTCTTCAGGGAGTTTTTAGGAAACCAGCTGACAGCTTTATAAACCTCATAACAAACGGTTGACCTCCTCCACTCTAATGAGGCAGAAAGGTCTGCGAAGGAAAAAAAACAGGTGTGTGGCTCAAGTGGGTTCGTAACCCCTCTGTATTCGAAATTTTGAGTGTTGTTGCGGGTGTCAAAAGATTTTAGAAGAACTTTAGCTAATCTATACGGACACGAGTGTGACTGAGCCTCCCCATAACTCACCATCTGCGTTTTGTTTTTTGATTTAGTACATACCAACGTCTAACAGCTGGTTCAATATACTATATCAGTTGAAAACTCTTTTAAATGTGCGTTTTTAACATGTTTTGTCCTCTGATCGGACACACAAATTGTTTTTTTTAAAGCATAGCACAAATTGGGTGCTTGGTGAATTAGAATGAAGAGACTAAGCACTGAAAGCTAAACGATAATCACATGAGACACATATAAACCTACTTGTCTAATCTTAAAATTGAAGTGGAGAGGCAATGGAAGGTCATTGAAGTAACTTTTAACTGCTCTTGAAATACATTTAAAAGACAGCTGCAAATGATTTTTTTTATATTTCTTTCCATGAAACATGTTTTTTATCATACTGTTCATTTCATATATGATGAAATTGTCAGGGCTGCCCTTCAGTTGTAAAAAGAAGCATTTACTTGAGGGATTCTGGTCAGGGCAAGCTCAGTTTTAATACTATCATAAATAACATCGTCACAGTCTGTCAGGTAAGCTCTGTCCAGTGGAATGAGTGAATGGAAGGCATCTTCTGAAACTCCCCGTCTGCCATCTGCAAAATATCACAGACTACACTTCAGCGATCAGATCTGGAACTGCTCCAAGAAGCCTTGAATTTGAGGGAGTCTTGTTTTTACTGGACCATCGTGTCCTGTGGTCCTGTTTTCGCTCTCCCATTTGGAAACATGGACAGGAAATTATGCCAGAGCAGATGTTTTAGGTGTCAAATGTGCAGCATCGGACATTAAGATGTGACAGGCGTTTGGACACAGACTGATGACTGGAGAGAGACTCAAGCTGTTGGCTGATGGCTTCATGCCCTGTGTTTGAACACAATGCACAAAGGAGAAAATCCACACATTTCAAAATTCACTGTCATCCAGCCCCTCAAAGTTAACCCAGTGCTGTCTGTCACTGTGCACAACTCCAGGGCTCCACTTCTGACTGGGTTCTTGTTTTTGCAGACCAACATTTCTCTCTCTCTTTGTGGGAGCAGAAAACTTCAAACAATGACCCCTTCTTTCTAAACCAAAGAAATCCACAAATCCAGGATTAGGATTTCTATTCATACTGTACTTTGGGTGTAAAAAAGGGGGGTTGTAAAATGAGTAAATCTACAGGGTGTAGACTACTTTTTGTATGCTCTCAACAGTTAACACCGTCTAATAAACACTTATTTGAAGAGTAGTTTACTCTGAACCAACATTGTTTTACACATGCAGGATCTTTAGCCTCATATTTAAACTTGAACATGTCGTATGGCTCCACTCACCAACTGTAAAGTGCAAATAAAGATGAGAGTGCATCGTCCGCTGCAGCAGCCCATTGTGTCAGCAGTGGAAATACGGTGGCTCTAAAGGACTTAAAACAGACTCTGAGGACCTCTCGATGTGCCGGCTACTCTCACTCCTGATCCGAGCATCGGCTTCGTCCCATCTTCCTCCTCCTCCTCCTCTTCGTGCGCTCCGCGTCTTCCCCACCGAGCCTCCAAAACAGCCTCCCGGGTCTGTGCCGCTGCTGTGGACGTGTTTGTTTACCTCCTCCTGCCAACTGGTCGCACTTGAGGTGACTGGCTGGGAGGATGGGTTGCAATCCGGTATGTAAAAGGGAGGAGGATGAGGAGGAGGAGTAGTGGGAGGGTGAGGGGTGTGGGGGTGTGGGGGAAACCACTCGAGCGGAGCTCAGACGGGAGGAAAATTTACCTCAACTGCGGAGGTAAATAGATTCCCAGAGGAACTACTGTGACAGCCGAGAAAACCGATTCTTTATATTAGATCATTTAGAAAGAATGGATTAATTTATAAGCATAAATCCGTACATTACGTAGATTAGTCACCGTTCATTTACAGATTAGAATAAAGGGGTTAATTTGACAAAAAACGTTTATCAAATCTTGTTTAAGACCGGTTGAAAACTATTTTAAAGTAAAAACCTTGTTTCTCTAACTTTCCTTGGCCGGGGTGCACATGGGAGGGGGGACACCGGCTCCAGCTGTGCTGCTGCTGCTGGGGAGAAGGCGCCATCTAGTGGCCACATGGGTTCAGAACACCTCATACAGTAAAAGGGGGGAATATTAAAAAAATGTGGGATTTTTTTTTTTTAATGTGAGCTATTCTTTACAGAAATAGCTCGTTTTCTCAGTGTTTGCTACTTGAATTAAAGCCATTCGACTCACCACGTTCCTGTTTTCGTGGGAACGCCTTTACAAACACGTTTGTAATCTCATTCATCTAATTATTCTCGTTTTCTTCTTTTTAGCGTTATGTCATTTTACTACGAATTTCCTCAGAGTCAGCCCTCAGTTGAAGCCACTCGATCTCGATGTGGTTTGAAATGGAAAAGACCTTAGAAGCAATCCCTCTCAGACCTCCTCCTCCTCCTCCTCCTCTTTGGGAGCGCACGGAGGCGGGTCTCACCTCTCTGCTCACCATCATGATGAATCTTTTAAGCCCCGGCGGACTGAGTGGGGGACACTTCGCATTTTCATTTCATCACACACGTCTCTGTTCTTTTTCTCTTAAAGTACCGCTTTTCATCGTCCTATACGAATCCATGCCCACCTGAGGAGCTCCTCCCCCAACGCCCAAAATAACCACAGGGTTTTTCTGGAAACCGACAAGTTGGCAGGCATTAGACATTATTACATTTTAGAAGGTTAACACCCTAAAGAAAATTATCAACGAACGTGATTTTTTGCATAAATATAACAGACATCTATCTATCTATCTATCTATCTATCTATCTATCTATCTATCTATC